AACCCTACAGCAAGGGCTTTAATAGGCTCTTGTTCCTATAAAACTGGAGGACAAAAAACAAAAAACAAAAAACAAAAGAAAACCCTGGAGGACAAACGGACTAACAATTCTCCCCTGGAGCCAAGTGGTGCAGGGAAAGATGTAAAGCGCTTAAATCAACAAGATGCTAAGTAGTGGAGAAGTGTAGAGGTTCAAGATCAATGCCAGTGAGTTGGGGTTTGTTTGTTTGTTTTTTGTACCAGAGATCAAACTCTGGACCTTGGCCACTGCAGAACCAGAGATAAATCCCCAGCCCTGAATTGTTTTAAGGGGGTTGACTAGGTAGTGCATGCACCCGACCATGCAAATGTAGGACATGGCCCCAGAGAGAGCTGAAAACGTGTATACCAACTGGATCTGTCCCTTGCCAGTAGCCTATAAAAATATATATCAGTACTGTAGAGATTTCTTCTACAGTCAATACTACACAAGTCCTTCTAGTTACCCATTACTTCAATACCAAATAGCATTCACTGCTTTTCAGACAATCCAGACAAAGGTCACTTATAACAAAAAGTCAACTCTTTTAAAACAAGATAGTGTCCATTTAAAAAGTAGTGGGTTGTTGTTTTGGGGTGTTTTTTTTTGTCATTCAAGTGAACAGAACATTTTCTATATGAAACAACTTCTAGTCAAGACTAGTTTGCTTAAGATCCCAGGTAATGTGCATGTATAGTATGCAGAAACAAATAAACTTACACATTATCTGCACAGAAAAAAGTCAACTTCCCAAAACATGATATAACAGGTCTGGTTAGTACAAATGCATTGCGAAGTAAAGAGATTCTGGTGTCTATTTCAACAAGGAGAAGCAGGCAGAGAATGTCCCAACCGCAAGAGTTCATGTTGAAGTCGCATTCTGAAAGCCTAGAAGCCTAAAGGACACAGTGTTGTTCCCAGGACCCTGACAGGCAAAACTGCTTAAACTCCCAGCCACCCCTTGTTCTGGAGCAAGGCCCACACTCCAATTTACTTTCGATTTCATAGCCGCTTCGCTTTTCTAAGTGAGTCTATGGCTTCTGAGGCCTTTCTCTGTTTCGAAAAAGACTCCTCACTCTGCGTAGTAGCCCGGGAGGAGCCTACGACCGCGCTCTCCATGACTTCCGGCGGTTTGCGCTGCAGCTCCGCCCATCGCCCATTCTGTTCTCCTCTGATCTGAATTGGCTCTAGTAGTTTCTGGTCTTGGTCTTGAAGCTGTTTCTGACATTCCTGCACTTTGGCGCGAAACTCAGAAATTTCCCGCCCAACAGTCACGCCAGCACCGTTGGTCTTAACCTGCTGCTGAAGTTTAGTAAACTCTCGTCTCGAAGGGTTTTGCTTGGAGAAGAGCTGCACTGTCATTCGGGCTGCAGCCAGACCTGGGACCTGGAGGAGAACCCATGAGTCTTCCAGACACGTCAGATCCTGCCAGTTTCCTCTTCGGAATTGGGACGATCTTCTCATCAAAGTACTCCATGGCCATGAAGGAAATATCCCTTAACTCTCGGAGGACTTTATGAGCCCGCTGTGGGCCTCTGGTAGAACTGACATATCTCAACACCCGGTAAATCTCATCCATCACCTAAAACAATGAGTTCTCTCTCATTAGCACCTTAATTAAGAAAAGAGCTAAGCAGAAGAGTGATGGCTGGTTCTGCAGTTCCTGTGGAGACTACTGGCCATGGGTGACAGTACCCCGGTTTAGCTCGCCTCATTTCACTTCTTTCCCTGGGCGCTGCCCGATGATAGAAGTCAACCAGGAAGCTACTGCAGGAGACAATGGTGGTATGGACCTTAGAGGTCGGACTGTGAAAGATGGTCAAATTCTGGATGATTTTGGAGGCAGACCCAGTAGGATTTGCAGGATGTGGGCTGTAAGAGAGAGAGAGAAGAGTCTAACATGGTTCCAGGATTCATAGAATGAGACAAGGACTAGGACTTCAGCATTGGATGTCGTGGAGATGAGAGCACAGGTGACCTCTGCTTTGCAAGCACAGTTCCGGAGTGGCAGGGTGAGAGTGGGCTCAAGTGACAATTAAGCCAGGCACAGTGGCCCATGCCTGTAATCTCAGCATTCTGGGAGGCTGAGGCAGGAGGATTGGGAATGTGAGGGCAGCCTGAGCTCAAAGCCAGCCTGGAGCATAGCAAGATTCTCAGAAAACAGAAAGGCCGGGGGCTGGGGGGTGGGGTGAAGGGAGGGGGCTGGGAGGGGAGGGGTGAGAAGAGGAGAGGACGGAGAAGAGAAGGTGATGACAGCAAAGATAGACAAATACTTTTGGGTTTTAAAGTTTATTGATTGATTTTTTTTTTTTTTTTTTTTTTTGGTACTGGGGATCAAACTCGAGACCTTGCTCTTGTGAGGCAGGTGGTGGCACCACTGAGCTAAATCCCCAGCCCTATTGTTTGATTTTTTTGTTTGTTTGTTTGGTACGGGATCGAACTCTGGTCCTTGCGCTTGCGCAGCAGGGGGCGAAACCACTGAGCTAAATCCCTGGCTATTCATTGATTTTTGAGACAGAGTCTCACCATGTAGTTCAGGCTGGTCTTGAACTCACTATGTAGTCCAGGCTGGCCTCAAATTTGCAGTGATCCTCCTGCCTCAGCTTCCCCAGTGCTGGAATTACAGGCATGCGCCACCACGCCCAGGTGATAGACAAATACTTTTGAAGAGTTTTTAGCAAAGGAAGCAGAAAAATGTAGCTGGAAGAGAATCAGGGTTAGGGAGATGCTATTTACTTAAGACACAGAAAGGCTGAGAACAGGATCCCATAGAGATGACACAAATGGATGATGCAACACAGTTGGGAAGAATGTCAGAGCCCTGGTGTCCCGGTGAGCAGATATGGGACCTGGTGCCCAGGTGCAGGGGCCCTGGGGTGAGGACAAACAGGTTGTAGTGACCATGACAGTGTGAGGCCCGAGGGTCTAGGTGTTGAGAGACCTTGGTGTTTGCCCCTTGCCCTCTTAGAACACTTCCAATATCTTGTGCAGAATCCAGGCTGGGTGATGAGAAGCCCCTCGAAGGAGAACCAAGCACCTCTGCCGAGATCACCTGTTTGTGAAAGCCAGTCATCAGGCCACCCCAGCCCAGATCAATGACTGGCAGAACAGATTCCACCTCTTATGGGAGGAGGATAAAATCATTGTGATGGGTCATACAGGGCAGGAGGAAATATAGAAGCCACTGTTGCAAAGAATCTATCATTGTTATTAGCATAATTATCTGAGCTGTATTGACTCATCAAGAATCACCAAAAATAATCCCCAGTGTTTATTCGCGCTCACTCGCCCATACAGGCACAAAGAATTACCAAGAATTTGACAGAAGTGGGAGTAAAAAGGGTGACAATAAGCCAGGTGCTAAAATCTTCAAAGCACAAGGGGGAAGTAAGTGATACTATCTAACACCATCAACTTCAAAAGCCTCAAATATCTTTATAGTTTCATCAGTGAATTTTAATACATTTCATCAATGAAAACGAATTATTCGCTTTTCACATCTTCTTTGACTCAGTCACATGTCAGTTCAGACTGTAACAGGAAGGAGCTTAAAACATGGAAACGTCTACATGCCTGGAAATCTGTGACAAAACAATCTGGGAGATGTATTTACACTGCTTAAAATCACATCTAGGGGCCTGGTAGAGCACTTAGGACAATCAATGCCTACTGTTTGAATGGATTTATAATAAGAAAGATACAAATCTATGTGGCTGGTAATCAGAGTAAAGTTAAGTATATTGCAGTATGCCTATTTACTAGTATATCATGCAATCATTGAAAAGTATTTTTCATTTCTTAGGATTGAACCTAGGGCCTTCCATATGGTAGGCAAACGTTTGACCACTGAGCCACAGCTCCCACCCTAAAAAGCTATGCTTTTGAAGTCTATCAACATATGATGTGGAGTAAAAAAAGTAGGGCACATCATGGTAGGCATAGAGTAATTATCCCTATGTACAAATATCTGGATGGGGAAAGGAGTCAAAACAGTTAACAGTGGTTTTATCAAGTTAGTGGCATTGTGGGTGATCATTTTTCTTTTTACTTTATTATTTTTTAAAAGTTATACATTTCCATTGTGGGAAAAGTAAAAATGCTGAAAAAAAATTAAAAATCCAACTCTCTAATCTGAGCACTTAGAAGGCTGAGGCAGGAGGATCACTGCGAGTTCAAGGCTAGCCTGTACTACACAGTGAGTTCAAGGATTGTCTGAACTACATAATGAGACCCCATCTCAAAAAAAAACACACACACACACACAAATTTTTTTCACTATCCAGAGAAAACCACTGCCACTATTGAAGTACATTCTACTCCTCTCACCTCCACTTAACATGTCCTTGGCTTTTTAGGCATTTTTAGACATCAAAAAAGTGGCTTTTAACAGTCACATGTATTGCCATATCATAATCTATTTTTCCTACTGTATTTTCTGACATAGTAGGTTTGCAATGTTTCTCTGAAAAAAAAATTTAGAACAAAATTAATAATAGAGCTGTATCATTAATCAAACTCAGAAAGCACTTCAGGGAAGAGGGGACCAGGATGGAGAGCTGGGGTGCTGGGAGGTGTCCTGTCCAGGGGAGGCTCTGTGGCTATGGGGGTTCTGTGTGACTGCTCTGCCTGACTAGGGACTCCTCTTTCCAAGGCTTTGAAGACGTGACATTTCGATACGGAGGACTGACTACAGACAGCAGCAGCTTTAGGCCTGAAAGGGGAGTCCTCCTCCCCATCAAGCCCCCTCAATCCCGGTTGGGGCGCTGGATGATTAACCTGAGGCCAAGAACAGATGTCATGGGGTTCAGAAGTGGGAACTGGAGGGCCGGGGATTTAGCTCACTGGCACCGCGCCTGCCTCACAAGCGCAAGGTCCTGAGTTCGATCCTCGGTACCAAAAAAAAAAAGGAGTGGGAATTTGGGTAGGGGGACACTGACAGAGTCAGGCGCATTTCCAGTTCAGGGAGGCGTCTCGGAGGGGTCATCGGAAGGAATTGGATGGGGAAATTGAGACTTGATAGAGGAATAGCGCGAGGCTATTTAGCCAGGCGCGGGCCAGTCCTTCAGGGCTGTAGAACCTGGAGGCGAGGAGAGAAAGGAGCGGAGGGCAGGGAGGAGAGGCGGCGACCAAGGCGGCTGATGGAGGTCTCGGAGCGGGGGAGGCGTGGGCTGGGAGCCGGAGAAGGGCGGGGAGCGGCGCGCGTGCACGGATTTATACCAGAGCTTGATGGGCAGCAGGCCGGGGAGCGCAGAGGTGGGGCGTGCGGTGAGGGGCGCGAGCCAGCGATGGGAGTAACTGGGGCGCGCGACCCTGGCCGGCGCTTGACAGCTTCCGCCCCTGTAGGCTCCAGTGATTTCCTGCTTGCGTGAGGAAAACTGGGATCTGGGAGGTTAGGCGGCAGCGGAGGGTGAGGGTGCAGGGGGCGCGGGGCGCGGGGCGCGGGCGGGGAGGGGCGGGGCCGAGCGCGTGAGAGGAGCCGACGCCACCGCCGCCGCTCGGGGTCTCCGGAGCCCCAGATTCTCGGCGCTCGGCTGGGTGGCAGCGGCCTCGGCACCCGGCCCGGTCGCCAGCTAGGGGCGGCCTCGTGCCCCGCCTGGCCCCGGAGCCCGTCGGACCCCGCCTCGTGCCGCTGCCTGCCGGAGGTGAGAACACGGCCGGGGGCGCGCGGGCACCCGGGCTTCGGGCTCCGGGGCTCCGGGCCTGCGCCGCTCAGGCGCGCGCGACACAGGAAGGGGACGTGGGCGCCAGTCCCGCGTGGAGGGCGGAGGGTGGGGACTGCGCGCTACCAGGAGACCCTAAGCCGCCCCCTCTGGCCTCCGCGGGGACCCGAGCTCAAGGCCGCCTCCTCGCGCTGTGCCGGTCCCCGCGACCCCTCTGTCCCCCGCGACCGCTGCCCGGCGTTGGACCTGCCCATCCTCCGCCGTCCGACTTCTCTCCTTTCCGGCCTGGCGCCCACACTCGCTCGCCCGTCACTCGAGCCCACGCATCGCGCTCCTCGCGTCCCGCTGCCTCCAGCCCGTGTCGTCCCACAGGTGTCCGCGCCCTCCGTGCCACCGTCCGTGCCACCGGGGCCGGCGCCGATCATGCCCCGCGGCTGCCGCTGTCTGCGTCTCGTGTGCCTGCTGTGCATCCTGGGGGCGCCTGGTCAGCCGGCCGGAGGTGAGAGCGCCTCGCTGGGCTCCGGTCCTGCCTGCCGCGCCCGCGAGCACGTTGACCTCTGCCGGCCAGGGCCAGCACTGCAGCTGCTCTGACCAGGGGCAAGGCGAGACCTGGGAGTCCCTTTGGGAGTGGGACGGTCTGTGCGGCCCGGTTTCTGAGCCCTGAATCCTCTCCTGAGTCCCGAGTCCCAGAGAGCGGACTCTGGCTCAGGTTCACCGCTTCCATATTCATGTCTTACAGCTGATGACTGCAGCGCCCACTGCGACCTGGCCCACGGCTGCTGCATGCCTGACGGCTCTTGCAGGTATCCAGACCCTCTGCTCCCCAAGCCCAGCCCTCCACACCCACATCCAGGTCACCCCCAGGACCCAGTGTGGAGGAATTTAGGACCCTACTGTGTGCCCTGGCGTTCCTCAGTGGTTCGAAAAACAGACAGGCTGCCCCCTTGCTCCCCCACCGGGCCCTTCCCCTTTGCCACACTTGTCTGCTTCCTCTACCTCCCACGACTACATCCTCCCAAGTCTGGTCCAGGGATTCTGAATGTTGCTCCTCCAAATACCCAGAGGGACCTGGAGATTGGAACCAGGAGACAAGGGGACGATGAAGGCGAGACAGAGGTGCCACCTGGGGAGGAAAGGCTGCAGGCAGGTGACTGGGAGCAGTTCTCTCAGAAAGAGGCTCTTGATGAATCGACCAACTGACTCAGAAGGGTGGCTGGGCAGGTAATGCAGCAGAAGGAAAGTGTGTAGTTTAAGAAACAGGGAGCTGGCTGAGTTGGCACAGGCCTGTAATCCCAGCACTCTGGGAGGCTGAGGCAAGAGGATTGCAGATTTGAGCCCAGCCTGGGCAACTTAGCGATTGAGCAGGTCAGATGTTTGCTATGGAATGCAGTCGGAAGGTAGTCTTGGAGACCTTTCAAGGTCACTCTGTAAATGTTTGTGTCAGGAATGGTACTCAAGGCATCACAGACACTGTCTTTATTTCTTCCTTGCACAACCTGTGGGGAGTAACCTCAATTTCCAGGTGAAAAAACTGAGGTTCAGAAAGGTTGGACAAGGTACAGAAGCAGAGCTTGAGTGCTGGTACCTGCTGGTCCAATTCTGTGTGTGTCCTATGCACACAGCCCCACATCCACCTGGAACAGGCCTGTCTTCCTGTAGCGTCTTGGTTTCTAGAAACTCTACTCTGACCCCCCCACCCCCGCCAGCCCTGACCCTGTGTCTTCTTCCCATCAGGTGTGACCCAGGCTGGGAGGGGCTGCACTGTGAGCGCTGTGTGAGGATGCCTGGCTGCCAGCATGGTACCTGCCACCAGCCCTGGCAGTGCATCTGCCACAGTGGCTGGGCGGGCAAATTCTGTGACAAAGGTAAGGGGCAGGAGGTGAGCTGTTGGCTGGGAGGCTGTTTTAGGGGACCGTCCTTCAGCACTGATTGAGCACTGATTGTCCTGCTCATATCCTCAAAAATAGGGTCTTTTATCTTTTTCAATTTCCTGTTTGTTGTCTGAATTGGTCCTCAGCCTAACCCTGTAAGGTTGGGATGGCAGCTGCTAGAAACTGTACTCATTTTACAGATCAGAGATCCCCTCCAGCCTGGAAGAGGGGTGTCACAGAAGCTGCTGGGACCAGAGCCTTAAGTCATCCGGAGCCAGACATGGCAGCCACCCCAGAGCCTTCTTTGTCTCCCCTGCAGATGAGCACATCTGTACCTCAAAGTCCCCCTGTCGGAACGGAGGCCAATGCGTGTATGATGGGGGCGGCGAGTACCACTGCGTGTGTCCACCCAGCTTCCATGGGCGGGACTGTGAGCGCAAGGCAGGCCCCTGCGAGTGGGCGGGGTGAGTGCTGGGCCCAGGGTGAGGTCCAACTGGAGGCTGGGCATAGATGAGGAGAGGCAGGAGGACTGAGGGTCAGACAGGAGGTGCTTTCTGAACCATTTCTCCAACAGCACTAGGTTGGAACAGGAGGCAGAACAGATCACGTGTCTGCTGTCAGGGATGCCTGCAGCCCTTAAAGATGTGCCACGCAGCAGCCTTACACATCAACTGTGGAGATGACAAAATGGCCCACAGGGCTGGACTTACCCTGGTTTCTGCTTCAGGCCTGAGTGCTTGTGAGGCTAATAGCACGCTTATCCCGAGTCCTGCCTTTGGGCCAGACCCTCTGCTCACTACCTGACATTGGCTTCCCTAATTTAACCCTATTTGGGAAGCTGGCACTATTTTTATGAGGTGTTTGAGACATCATGCCTGTAATGGGAGGCTGAGGCAGGAGGATCATGAGTTCAAGCCCTGCCTGGGAAGCTTAGTGACTTAGGAAGACCCTGTCTTAAAGTAAAAAATACAAAAGGGCTGGGGATAGAGTCCAGTGTGAAGCCCGTGTTCAATCTCCAGTACTGTAAAAAGTAGTAAATACAAATGAAATAAAATGAGATGTTAGAGACAAGGGGCCCTAGGTGACACAGGTAGAAAGGGGGGCCAGTGCCCAAGATGCTGACCTGGGCCACCCTATGGGCATCTGAAGTCAGTATCTATGTCCCTTCCCACTGTCATCATAGCTCCCCGTGCCGGAATGGCGGCCAGTGCCTGGATGACCAGGGCTTTGCCCCCAACTTCACATGCCGCTGCCTGGCGGGCTTCATGGGTGCTCACTGCGAGCTGAATGTAGATGACTGCCTGATGCGGCCTTGTGCCAATGGTGCCACCTGTGTGGATGGCATAAACCGCTTCTCCTGCCTCTGCCCTGAGGGCTTTGCTGGACGCTTCTGCACCATTAACCTGGACGACTGTGCCAGCCGCCCCTGCCAGAGAGGCGCCCGCTGCCGGGACCGTGTTCATGACTTTGACTGCCTCTGTCCCAGTGGCTATGGCGGCAAGACTTGTGAGCTTGTCCTACCCATCCCAGACCCTGCCACCATGGCGGGCACCCCCATAGGGACCACCTCAGCAGTGGTGGCCCTTGCCACAGGGTCAGTGCCCCATAGCTCGGGTGCAGGCCTGCTGCGCATCTCGGTGAAGGAGGTGGTACGGAGGCAAGAGGCTGGGCTGGGGGGATCAAGCCTGGTGACCCTGGTTGTGTTCGGGGCGCTCACTGCCGCCCTGGTCCTGGCCACTGTGTTGCTGACCCTGAGGGCCTGGCGCCGGGGCATCTGCCCCCCTGGACCCTGCTGTTACCCAGCGCCCCACTACACCCCTGCCCGGCAGGACCAGGAATGTCAGGTGAGCATGCTGCCGGCAGGGCTGCCCCTGTCACCAGACCTGGGCCCGGAGCCTGGCAAGACCACGGCGCTGTGATGGTGGTGAGGGCTCCCAGCCCCCATCCTCACCTGCTCTGCACTTCAGACTACAGCTGTCCTTCCTCACCCCTCGGCACAGATGTGTGAATCCAGGGGGCTTCAGCCTCACACCAGAAATATTATTTTTTTAATATACAGAATGTTTTATCAAATAAAACTATAGAAATGAAAATGGGCTCCTGTGGCAGAAAAATCACCCACCTAGAGTCCAAGATGAGGGGCGCGGGGACAGAGGCCTGGTCCGGGAGAGCCCTTGGCCCTTGACCCCTCCAAGAAGTGCTTCTCTGGAAGGCACCAGGGCCCCTGTCCCCTCTGGGCAGTGAGGAGAGGTAGAGCCTTGAAGGGGGATGTAAACAAATAGCCAGCACCTCTGCACCAGCCCTGCTGCTCAGAGCGAGGGGAGAGTTCTGGGGGCCACGACCTGGGGCTCAGGGTCCCCAGGAGGGGCGGCAGCTTCCTCCAGGCCACTCTGCAACAGCTGCCGGAACACTGAGTGTCCTTGGTCACACAGGGCGGTGGGGGAGTCCAGCCCCACAACCCTCCCTGCATGGAGCACCAACACGCGGTCCGAGTTCAGGATTGTGTTGAGCCTGCATAGGAGACAGTAGTCAGTTTAGGGGCCGGGGGACAGTGCCCTGCAGGAGAAAGCTGACCTGCTGTCCCCCTTGGCCCCTCCAGACTTATACAGGTTTGTCCCCACAGGCTTTGGTCCCTGGCAGGAGGGACTGCAGGGTCCCCTCAGACAATGTACCATGGGGCAGTGCCTAGAGAAAGGAGCTGAGATCTGGGCCCCTGACCCTGGGGTCCCTAAAAGGATTGGAGGGAGGTTCTGGGTCTCCTCAAGAGTTCTCAACCACTCTGAACACCAGTGCACCTATGGGCAATGGTGAGCACTGTCTTGTTGGCAAAGCGTTGGCAGATGGTTTGCTGTAGCAGCTGGTCTGTCTTGTGGTCCACACTCGCTGTGGCTTCATCGATACAGAGGATCTGGAACATGGTGGGGTATGAGGAACCCCGGCCGTCGAGAGCTCCTCATCTCCAGCTCTTCCCTGAGATGCTCCCATCCCAGCTCCCCAGACACGTCCCTGGCTCCCTCCCAGTTCCCTCCATTGTCTCCTCTCGCCTCACCTTGGCATTTGTAAGGAGAGCCCTGGCCAGGCACAGCAGCTGCCTCTGTCCCAGGGACAAGCTCCGGCCCCCTTCACCCAGCTCACTGTCCAGGCCACCTGGAGGGCAAAGCACCTTCACTGCAGGCCTCCCCCACTCCTCCCTGCTCTCCGCATTGGGGACAGCACTCACCCATGAAGATGACCACCTCGCTCAGGTGGCACTGCTCCAGGACCTGCCACAGGGCCCCGTCCTCGTGAAGGCCCTGGGGGTCCAGGTTTTCCCGAATGGTCCCACTGAACAGGAAGGGCTCCTGGGGGATGATAGCTAGCTGGGATCTGGGGACAAGAACACAGGAGCTGGTTGGAGATGTGGCCACTTCTTGCAGCATAGGTTGTGATGGGGCTAGCACTTCCAGGAGAGGCCAGGATGGGGCCTGAGTATAAGCCCACTGCTTTCCACCACATCCCCACCCGGTGCCCAGTTAGCCAGCTAGGCACCTTGACCTCAGGTAAGGCTCTGGGCAGTGGCACAGACACCAAAGGCCTGGAGCCCATCCTCAGGAGCCTGCATCTCACTGAGGAACCAAGACAGAAGGAGTGAACAAGCCACACAGTGTAACACTGACTTCGGGGAGAGCACTGGCTAGGGAGGGGACAACCAGAGTGGATCAGTGGGAAGGGGTCCAGTCCTGAGGACCTGTAAGGTCAAGATACAAGGTGAAGCCACCACCACTTAGACGAGGGAGGGCCAGGTAACATTAAGTCCCAGGGCTTAGGACCCAGCCTCCTGCCCCTTCCGTGCCAGGAAGCTGATGAGATGATACTGGGGAACCTGGGGACAGGGGACCTAGAGCCCTAGATGAGGCCACTTGTGACCAGGGGCAACTGGCTCAGGTCTCAAGCTGTCCCAGGCACTACCAGCTGAGCCCAAGGACCAAGGGACAATGGCATCTGGGGGTATAGCCTCTTGGAGCTCTGATTTAGAAAGGCACACAAAGAAGACAAAGCTGGAAATGTGGCCTGGATCACGGTGAGCAAGACCTGGGCCACCGCTGTAACTCTGACCCAAATTCTCACTGCCTCCTGCCTGTCTCATCCTCCACCTTTGCACCCATCGACCCTGGCTGTCCCATTTACAGGCACCTTCTGGACCATGACCCTCTGTAAGTGCCAGGATTCCTGGCTGCCCCGACCCCGTCCCCAGACCTGAGTTCGGCCAGCTCCAGCTGGCTGGTGTCCGTGTCGTCCAACAGCACCCGCCCCGCACTGGGCTCCACCAGCCGGAACAGCACCAGAAACAGGGACGACTTTCCAGAGCCCGTGCGGCCCACAATGCCCAGTTTCTCTCCAGGCTGTACACGGAAGGTCACCCCATTCAGGGCAGGGGGCAGTCCTGGTCGGTACACTAGCACCACATCCTGGAACTCCACGCTCCCCCGGGTCAGCCAGCTGTTGGCCTGTGGGCAGGAGATAGAGGGAGACAGTGAGGTGAGGAGGAGGCACAGTGCAGAGGGGTGGAAGGAGGGAGCATAACAGGAAACAGATGGGTAAGAGGAGAAAAGGGATGGGGTGGCTACAAGGACGCAGTGGGGAACATTGGTGACCACATGAGCAAGCTAAAGGGGGCAGAGAAAGATGGTGAGGAGTAGAGGAGCAAGGAGAGACCCCAGCCAGAGTTCCAGGCTCTGGCCCCGGGCAGGGGGTGGTGCACCTGCAGAGGGCAGCCCCGGGGCTCCTGGGCCAGGTCACAGGAGTACTCCTCCAGCCGCTCCACGCTCACCAGCATGACTTCCGTCTGCGTGAAGCTGCTCACCAGGCCCGAGAGCAGCCCCGTGAGGGACAGGGCATAGGACAGCGCAAGCCCCACCAGCCCTGGGGAGATGAGCACAGTGATAGGGGAGCTGGACACTGTGGAGGTGGGCAGGGCAGGGGAACCCTGGCTGCAGACCAGGTGCTTACAGGAAGTGGGCAGAGAGGCAGGTAGATGACGGCCGAAGGCCAGGCCCCTGGGAGGCTGGAGGGAGGGAGGGAGGGAGGAAGCCATGAGGGGTGACAGTGGGAGGTGGGGGGGCAGGTTGGGGGGCTGGGCCGTGGGAGCAGGGAAGGGGTGAAGATTGGAACATCAGAAGACTCGTTCTTCCCAGATTCACCACCCAGGGGCAATTGCTCCTGGAGACTCAGTTTCTTCAAACGGGGGTGATGGTGATAAGGCAGGGGCATCCACGAAGGGAACCCTGGCTGAGGTGGAAAGGTTGGGGGATGGTACAGGAGAGCTCTAGGGCAGGGACTGGAATGAGGGGCCTGGGTTCAGGGCGAGGGGTCTGGGTGGCACCTGGGTTAGCAAGGCCCTGCTCGTGCTGTACCAGGGCAATGCCCGCAATGGCACTGACCACTGCTGCCCCCATGAGCTGCAGCCGGATGTCCAGCCACTGCATTGTGGCATAGGAAGCAAACTGGCACCTCTGGTTCAGCTCCAACAGTCGCTGGTTCTCTTCCTCGAACCTGGGAAGGCAGAGGGAAGCAGGGCTATCCACTGCTGTATCAATCCACCCCAACACCTTTCTCACAGCCCACCTCCTTTCTGAGAGCTGATCCACACACCCATGGGCCTCAACTCAGGAATGCAGAGATGCCTGTGTATGCTTTTGTTTTTTTGAGACAGGGTCTCATTATATACCCCGAGGTAGCTCTGAATTTGCAATCTTCCTGCCTCAGCCTCCTGAGTGCTGGGATCACAGGTATGTATCATCATGCCCTGGTGCTCTTTTGAAGCGAGGGGCCTGGTCTGCCTCACATTCTCTTTCGTTTTTACCCTTCCTCTAGGACTCTCACCCCACCTCTTCCCCTGGAAGCCTGGACTCCCCTTGCCTGTCACGTCCCTCTTCCTAGGGGTCTTCCAATCTCAGCCATGAGCTCTGGTTGGGACAAAGTGACTCTACGCACCTGTAGGTGGCCCCAGCCGCCCGGAGCACAGGGAGACCACCCAAGGTGTCAGCTAGGTGGGTGTAGAGTGGGGACAGCGTGAGGCTGCCCAGGCGCCGCAGCTCCCGTGAGGAGGCCCGGTAGTGGCGCTGCACACGGTAGTACAAGACGCTGAGTGGTGGCAGCAACAGCAGCAGCCAGGGCAGGCCGAAGCCCAGCATGACCAGGAGGCCCAGCAGGCCCACTGCGTTGGCCAGGAGGATATTGAGGAGGAAGGGCAGGCTGTCATCCACACATGCCACATCAGAGGAGAAGCGGTTCACCACCCGGCCTGTTGGCGTGGAGTCGAAGAAAGACACAGGCGCCTGCAGAGGGGTGGTGGGCAAGGCAGACTCTGGAGAAAAGGGGTTGGCAAGGTGCTCTGGGGAGGGGCGGGGTGCACCATGGCCTGAAGTTGGAAACAGAAAAGCAGTAAAACATGTCTACGGCTTGGGGGCAGAGGAGGCGCTGCTGGAGCTTGGAGGAAGACTATCCCAGGCAGGAAAGGTCCTCTCCGACTCCTGACCATCCTTCCCCCTCTGGATGAGACGAGTCCTCTACCCTCCAAGGGCAGGGAGCTAAGATCTCTCCAGAAGATGGGGATTTCCAGCTGGTGAGTGGCAGTTAGTCAGAAGTCAGGAGGAATCCTGATTGGCCATGGCTAGACAGCATGGTGAGAATTATTGGCCAAAGCCAAAGTTATGGTTAAAGGCTCAGGCTCTGGAGTCAGATTGCAACTCCAATTTCAGCTCTGCCACTGGGAGATGTGAGACCCCAGGCTAGGGACAGTCACCTCTCAAAGGCCTCTGTTCCACTTCATCTGAAAAGCGGGGACAAATGGAACCACACCTCAAAGGGGGTGCTGGTAGAATTAAAAAGCACATCTGCCTGGAACATAGTGCATGCTCAATAATCGCTAGCTAATGAAGATATGGTCTCAAGGACAGCCCTTGGCTTTTCCTGGCCTTTCCCACCTTCCCTGTCCCCAGCCTCTGCCTTTACATTGGGAACTGTCTTATCTTAGGCAGGGGACGGGTCAAACAATTTTCAGTGCCTCAGTTTCCTTAGCAGTAAAACAAGGTAACAGTGCCTACCTCACGGGGTTATTGTAAGGCCCTAACAAGGGGCAAGAAAGGGCTTTTTAGTGACAACAACGCTCATAATGACTGCTAAGTGAGCTCCTAATGTGTGCCATGTTGTATCCTACAAACTTTCCATGTGCTAATTAATGTAATGCTTGTAACAAGGATATGGGATCAGAAAACCGGATATACACTTAGCAACATGGACGGATTTTTAGAAACAACGCCACATAAAAACTGTAAGAAACAGAATGTGAGCCCTAACATAGTATCATTTACATAAATTAGAAACACAGGCACACAAAACTCAGGCATGTCGCAAAAATACATATTGAGCACACTTGGGATGGTTATTTGTTAAGAAAGGAGAGGAAGTGGAAATAGGGTATGGAGATAAGGGCCCTGCCTGATCTATAAGGTCAACCTTTTGCATCTGAGATCCAAAGGTGACAGAACCCTGAGGAATGCTCTCTTTGCCTGATTTTATAAATGGGAAAACCATCGGTGGAAATCACTGGATTCAAGCCCAGGCAGCTACTTGTTCTGTGGGCTTCGAAGGTGTCACATGCCAGACCCATCAGTGAGGGGCCATTTGATCCACAGGGAAGGGATGTGCTGTGGGGACACAGGGCCAGGGCCAGGGCCAGGGCCAGGGCCAGGGCCAGGGCTGCCCCCCCACCCCTTCACCTGAAGGACTCGTTGCAGCAGGCGGCAGTGCAGGGTGGCGGCTGCTCGGAGGGTGCCTGCCGCAAAAAGCACTGCTCGGAGAAGTGTGCAGAGTGAATTGATGCCAGCGATGGTCGCATACACGGTGAGGTAGAAACGGACATCAGAGGAGCCATTGGGGGTGGCTTTGGGCAGTGGGAACACTGGGGCGCTGGATGGGGAGGGGGATATGTGTAACCAAAAGTACGGCACTTGGGGTCCCTTCCCCTGTCCTCAGCCCCCCCACTCCCTCCCTGGAGGCCACCCTGAGACCACTGGGCCTGTGCCCAGGCTGCCACTCACCAGAGGCTTCCAGGGGAGAAGAGGAGCAGTTGTGGGGAGAAGAGCCCCGAGGGGCTCTGGGTGGCAGGAGCTGACACCTCCCCAGAGCCATTCCCTCCTGCCCTCAGCTGGGAGATCCAGTAGGACAGCCACCAGTCTGCGCCATTGCGTGTGGCTGGATTCGACAGAGGGAGGACGTCACGAGAAACACGTGTGCCCTTGACTCCATTCCCACCCTCCTGCAGCCTGGATTCCCCTCCCTGACACCATCCTGTACGTGCCTTTGTCATAGGCCCAAAGCCCTCTACCCAGGGGACAGCATGGGCACCAAGAGAAAGGGGTGGGTCTAGGAGTCAGGTGGAAGGTGGCCATGGGGTGTGCTGCTCGGGCCACGGGACTCTCTCAGAATTGGGGGCATGGCTTTTGTCCCAACTGTGCCCCATGCTCGGTGAGTCTCTGGAGTCATTGTTCATCAGTACAAGGTGACAGTGATGGACACCTGGACAATGTGGCCTTGGGGGACCAAGGGACTCCCACCTTGCATGAGGAGCAGAGAGAAGAGGGTGGCAAGGGCCAGTGCACAGCCCACGGCCCTCCAGTATGTTTGGTACACCTGCAAGGCCACAGCGCCCTCCTTCTTGCTCTCGTCCTGCAGCAGGCGGCCACAGGTGCTCTGCTCTGCCTCCAGGCCCTCCTTCATGTCCTCCAGGCTCTGTATCAATGGGGCCCTGGCTGTGTGGAAGTCATGGACAAATTAGGGTTTCAGAGGAGCAGGCAAACTTTAAAACAAAACAATCTCTCCAGTGGGGCGGTGGAAGGCAAGCCCCTTCCTCCCACCTCTGGGCCACACCTGAGCCAGGCTCTTGTCCATCCTTAGCCTGGGTTTTGGGGACAGCTTGTACCAATGGCAGAATCTGAGAGGGAGGCCCTGGAAGACAGAAGTCGGGGGAAGGGGCCACTTAGGTCTATACCATGCCTTCCCAAAGTGTGTGGTCCCACCTCCCTGTCCCTCTGCCCTCCTACTACACCCACCCTAGCAGCATCCTGCCCTAGATGCCCCCAACTGAGCAGGACCTGTCACGTTCATCCTTCTAGAGTGTGACCAGCAGAAGGGCCAAGAAGGACAGTCACAGCTGTGGTTACACCCTGGCCAGTCACCTCTTATTTCCGTAGAGCTTTTTAAATACCTAATGCTCAATTCCTGACATTCCAGTTGAACCCCATTTCTTCCTTTTCTCCAGTGAAACTGGAGGTGGCCATGTCCTCTGAACCATAGCCCTTTGGAGACTTTTGTTTTGGTTCTCTTTAAAAGAGGCTATTCTAACCCGACCATGTGCTCTTCTTGAGTCCAGAGGGATGGACGTGATGGGTCCTGCTCAGCAGGAGGACATCAGACTGTTTTGAGGTCCTGGGCCTCTAAGTTCCCAAGAGGACCTGTCATAAAGCCCCAAGTCCCACTTCTAAGCCAGCTCTCTGAAGGCAGAAGGGGAGGGGCCACAGGTTCTGCACCTGACAACCCACTGTCCCTCTGTCTTCCCCCACCTAACCTGGCTCCCCCACACCTTACCAGCCTGGACGAGGCGCCCGGCCTCCAGGAGGAGCACCAGGTCAGCCTTCTCCAGATACTCGGTGTGGTGGGTGCACAGCAACCGTGTGGTGTGGCTCAGCACTCCCAGGATGCACCTGTGCAGCAGGTGGTTGGCCACGTCTGCATCCACAGCAGCCAGAGGGTCGTCGAGGAGGTAGAGCGCCTTCTCCTGGGAGAGGGGAAGCAGGCAGGCAGCCCCTAGTCTCAGGCAGTCAAGAAGGGACAGTGAGAACACTCTACAGTATCAGGGAAGGAAGTGAGACCTGTAGACATCTCTCCAATCAGGCGAGGCTGGGACCCAGGGCCTCCACCTGGCCAAGCTCACAAGGCTTCAGACTGCCTCTTCCTCCCTGCCTCTGCCACCTTTAACTTACCTGGTACACAGCTCGAGCAAGGGCAATCCGGGCCCGCTGTCCTCCGCTGAGGGTCACACCCTTCTCCCCCACCTCGGTCTGGTCTCCAGCAGGCAGGACCTGGTGGAACAGCACCCCAGGGGGTCAGCAAGCTCCCAGAAACCTCCCTTCCCTTCATAGGAAAGAGATGATGAAGGTTAAGGGAGCCTGAGACAGGGTTTAAATTGGGCCAGTGGGGTCTGTGTCAGAGGAGCTAAGCCATGATGCCAACTGCAAACACTTACAGATCACTTACTATACGCTGGGTACTTCACAGGGATTATCTTGTTTGAATCCCACAAGGACCTTATAAAGATGGCTTTATTTCCTTTCACAGATGAGACAAAGCTCAGGCAGATGACCTACCTTGACCACAGCTGGTAAGGGTCAGGAAATAAACCTTTTTTTTTTTTTGGTGGTGGTGGCGATACTGGGGATCAAACCCAGGGGTGCTCTACCACTGAGCTACATTCCATGCCTTTGTACTTTTTTTACAATTTTTTTTTTTTGGTACTGGGGATCGAACTCGGGTCCTCGCGCTTGCACAGCAGGCGGCGATTTTTTTTACAATTTTGAGACAAGAGTCTTGCTAAGTTGTTCAGGCTGGGCTCAAACTTGCCATACTCCTGCCTCAGCCTCCCAGAGTACAGTATTATAGGCATATGCCATCATGCCTGGTCCAAACTCAGATTCTTTTTTTTTTTTTGGTACTGGGGATCGAACTCGGGTCCTTGCGCTTGCACAGCAGGTGGCACAACCACTGAGCTAAATCCCCAGCCCCCAGAGATGATTTTTTTTTTTTGGTACTGGGGATTGAACTCAGGTCCTTCTGCTTGTGAGGCAGGAAGCAGAACCATTGAGCTAAATCCCCGGCCTCAAACCCAGATTCTTAACCAACCTGTCACACTTACTTCCCTGCCTTTTTAACAGGTAAGGGTGACAAAGGGCCAGTATGACCTGAAAGCTTTCCCAGGCTTGCAGAGAAGAAATGCATCCTGAGCTTTTCTGTGGTTTTAGGAGTGTCTAAGCTAAGGGTCCCCACACCCAGAGGAAGCAGCCATGATCCACTAGATAGGGAGACTCCCAAGGGCAAAGCTGTTACTCAACCCTTTTCCTAGTGCTTATAATAGCACCCAGGACCCAGGGGACTTCTGGGGGTAGGGGGAGAAGTGCTTGATGTAGAAACAAATGCTAAATGGGCACAGGCTGCCCAGAGTCAAAGTGAAAGGTCCTCCTTCCCAGGGAAGTTCCATACATCTGGGTGGGATATTGGTGACAGTCCTGGAGGGGACACTGGGGCTTGGTGGGAAAGTCCTGGCAAAGTCTATAATCTCTTTTTCCTGATCAATTTAGTACCAAGGATTGTGGGTAGACAAGAACCCGAAGGGCTTGGGGGTTTCTAAAGGAGACCTAGACTCTTCCAAACCTTCTCAGTATGTAGGGGGCTCCTGAGTCAGAACCCAGAGACAGACCTGCATGGAGCTACATCTTACAGGGGGCCTCGCCAGGCCCCAGCATCTCAGGGCTCTCCAGGCCGCTGCACGGAATCCAGCCACCATCTTTCCTGTGAGATCTCCAGGGACAGGGAAGCCAGGGGCTGGACACTCTGGGAGAAAGAGTCTGATGGCTGGTGCTAGACCAATGATGCCCCAGGAGACGCAGACTCTTCCTGGTCTGGGGTATCAGGGACACACAGGGAGGAAGGAGCCAAGAGCTTCAAGGCCAGGCACTCACGCTCAGGTCCTCATTGAGGGCGCAGGCTTCCAGCACCTCCCTGTACAAGTGGGCATCAAACGTCTTCCCAAAGAGGATGTTGTCCCGGATGGTGGCGAACTGGATCCAGGGCTCCTGGGTGGCCAGGCCGAAGCCCTTGGACAGCCCCCATACTGCCACCCGTCCACGCAACCTGCAGAGTCAGGGGAACAGTGTGGGGACCAGCTCCTTGCCAAGTCCTCCATGCCCAGCCCCTGCCTCCGGGAAGCCTCCTCAGCCTGCTGCCTTCTACTCAGGACCCTCTTTGTGTCACATGACTCTCCAGGTTGATAGCCTCGGAAGCTGAGGTTCATTCTGGACTGGGAGGGGATGAAACTGCTCTTTGCTGCAGCCAAGCAGCTGGATGTCTATGTTCTGGGGCTCTGGGAAGATGTGGCAGCACCCTGCTGTCCCCCCTGAACACAGGTCTCCCTCAAACCCACACTACTCCCCAGGACCCTCCCCTGCACAGCCCCACATTCTGAAAGAAGAGCTCCACACCTTTTCTTCCCCCTCTACGACAGCTCTTCTGATGCTGGTCTGAGGCTGCTGACTCACTGTTTTGATTGCTTCCCCCTGCCCAGCTGGAAACTCTCCTAAGAAAGGGGCTGTGTCATGATCTTCTTGGCCCCCTCAAAGGTGTCTGGCACACAGCTGGTGCTCAGTAAATGGTCATTAAAGTGAAGAGCTGCGGACAGGGTGCACAGAAGGTTCATTACCTATGCAGCTCCCCTGTGATCGCAGCCAGCAGCGAGCTCTTCCCGCAGCCCACCTTGCCCACGATGCCCACCAGTGCTCCCTGTGGGGAAGCCACAAGGTCAGAGCCCGCCATTTGTAGGGGAAGGACAGAGGGGGCAGTGGTCTCCCTGGGCTGCCAGCCCTCCCCCTGGGGCTTCACTCTGGGTACCAGATGGTCGGAGAGAAGGAATCTCTACCCAACAGGCCACTGTGCCCCAGTGGTCAGCCCCGTGCTAGACCCAGAGAAGCCAGGTGTTAAGAGTTATATTCTCTGCTCAGGGTTGCTATCAGTTTCACTGGCTCCATGAAGAGCCTCTGAGGGGCGCAGCTTGTCAGAGAGAATGAGAGAAAGCTGCCTAACAACCTCCAAGTTGCACTTGAAGGCGGGCACCCCAGAATAGGAGAGGGGAGGCAAGGATTTGGGGCCTGCTTGCAGGGCTAAGTCAACCCATGGCTACATTTCCAATAACCCTGGGCAAAAAACAGCACTTTGCATAGATGCCTACTCCTGTGATTCACAGTTTAAAACTTTCTGTTCTTGAGAACTGAGAGTGATGGCAAAGCCTGTAATCTCAGCACTCAGGAGGCTGAGGCAGGAGGGCCACTGTGAGTTCGAGGCTAGTGTGTACTACATAGTGAGTTCAAGACCAGCCTGAACTACATAGCAAGACCCTGTCTTTTTTTTTTGGTACCAGGGATCGAACTCAGGACCTTGCGCTTGTGAGGCAGATGTGGTGCCACTGAGCTAAATCCCTGGCAGCAAGACCTTGTCTTAAAACAAAACAAAATGAAAAAAGAAAGAAAAGGAAAAATTCTTCTATAGAAACAGACTGAAGTCTGAGGCTCTGTCTGTGATGCACCCCCCATCCTGCCAGCCAGGGGGTGACCCACTGCAAATGCATCTGTGACCCTCCCTGGGAATGCAGGCTCAGGTCCCAGAGGCAACTTCTGCTCTTGCTGCCTGCAGGCCCTAAGCAGGCAGGCTCGCTGTAGTCCCATCTCCTACGCAGTGGTGCCCGGGTCCCCAGGGAGAAGCAGCAGGCAAACAGAGAGAACATCGGATGGAGGGCAGAGATCTGCAAGTTGAGGCCTGGTCTGGGTCTGTTACTAAGATCTGGCTGTATTGTTGCCCCGGATTCTGCAATTCATCTCTGTATCCCTATTACAAATTCTTGTTTGTTCAAGGCAACTCCAGTGGGTTTCTATGACTTTTTTTTTTTTTTTAAAGCCTCAACACCTTAGTAAAATTCTTTTGAAAAATTCCAGCCTTGTCTTGCCTGAACTAAGAAAAAACACAAAACCTACAGTCCAGGCCAGAAACGTGAGCCAAATGTGGTGGAGGAGATTCAACCACCACCGAGTTGAGCTGTGGGGCAAAGGGTTAGACTGAGGTCAGGAGAGAGTGAAAACACAGGCCTGGGGTGAGCAGGAGTCACCTTCCTGCCAGGAATGTTACTGTTGTAAGCTCCTCTTTGACTGTTGATGTAGCATGAGTCATAAGGCATGATTACTGCTTTCTACTCCATTTGTAAAATCTTTCTTGGAAGGGGCTGCTGGGCCTCACCCCCAGGTCCCCAGGCCTGGGTCTGCTTGGGGACTCTGCATCACTCTGCAAGAGCTGTGCACGGAGGAAGGAGACTCAGGAGGTTCCTCTCTTCTCAGCCTGGAACCTGCTGGCCCAACACTTCCACTCCCTCCCACAGCCATTGGAGCAGCAGGGCCATTCAGCCCTGATGGGTTCAGCTCTGTGCATCTGTCCCTGAGTCCCCATCACCCTTGTTCTCCAGGGACCCTTTCGGGGTGTGTGCCCAATGAACCTTTTTCACTTCAAGGTGACTGATGAAGGTCTCTTGGCTGGTTCCAGTGGGGTCCCAGGAGAACACGGCTTCGTGCAGCTCCAGTACTGTAGATGGCTCCGAGGGGGGCTCTGGACAGGGAAGAAGCCATTCACCCAGGGCTCTGCTCAGTTGGGAAGGGTACACAGGAGCCTGCCACTGACTCACCTGGCCCTTATCCACCCAGCCAGAGCTGCTCAATCTCAGTCTGACTGGCTCTGCTGGGAGCTGCCACCTCAGACTCCTGCTTGCACCATCTATCCAGGGTGCCCAGGTGGCTACAGCTCCTCCTCAACCCATGCCAGGTTCTGCACCATGGCTTCCCGTACCTGGGCTATAGTAGGCTTGAGGGTTGTAGTTTGGAAGGTTGAGGAAACGCTGGATCCGCTCCAAGGACACTTTGGCCTCCAGGAGGCCATTGATGACCCAGGGGAAGTTGTTGAGGGGAAGAATAAGCATGCGCACCAGGGCCAGGGCTGTGAACACCTGAGTGGGTGGAAGGGAGGAGGCATCACTGGGTGCCCAGGGGCTGCCCCAGGCCTGCTCTAGAGTAGCCCTGTGGTCAGGCCTGTGGAGAGAAGACCAGGGCAATAGCAGATGTTGCTGGGCAAGCTGGGGTTAGGAGTGGCAGAGGTGACAATGATGAGTCCTAGAATTCTAGATGTTCCTCCCGGGGTCCAGGTTGGGTTTTTTTGGTGCTGGAGGTCAAACCTCAGACTTTTCACATGCTAGGCACATGATTTATTACTGCGCCTCACCCTAGCTCCCCAGGTTACATGGTGATAAGTGTGCAGGCCTAGCTCATGCTGGGACCTTCAGAGTTTCTAAGTGACAACATCACATGCTCCTGGACAGATGCAGCATTGGATCATGGATCCTCCCACCCAAGGCCATTAGCATGAGGATAAAGGGTGTAAGTCTGGGCCTGACTAGAAGATGGAGTAGAAGGAGGTGAAGAGAAAGAAAAGGACCAAGGTCCCAGAAAAGCCAAGCATGGTGGTGCACACATGTAATCCTACCACTCCAGAGACTGCTGTGAGTTTGAGGCCAGCCTGGGCTGCACAGTGAGTTTAAGACCAGCCTAAAGTGCATAGTGAAACCCTGCCTCAAAAAACAAACAAAACAAAAACAAAAATCCCACCATCCCAGCATTTGAGAGACTGTCCCCTTGGCTGGGAAGGACAAGGCAGCCAAGGACCCTCCTTCTTCCTCCCAGGACCAGGGGCTGAGCCACATCTCCACTCTACCTTCCCTCCCTCTCTCCTGTACCTCTCTATGGCCATTCTTACCTCCCAGGCCTCACCTTGGTGGCAGTGAGCTGGTGGCCCATGAGGACATAGGTGATGAAGATGACAATGGAGATGACAACTGGCAGAGCAGCCCACAGGTACACACAGGCTGCATCTAAATATTTGATGACCTTCAGCCGCCCGAGCTCTTGGGCCCGGCAGGCCTCTACCCGGGTTGCCAGCACTTGCTCCCACCCGAAGAATTTGATGACTCGAATGCCACTCAGGAGCTCTGTCATGAGCTGGAGAAAGGGGACAAGAGAGCAGTGTGAAGTGGAGACACCGCTCATGTGTCTTCTCATCTGCCTGGATGTTGGTGGGATCCCCAGAGTGCTGAGGGACCCTGGAAGCCCCTCACCTTAACCCTTGCATCCTTGTGCTGCAGCATCTCCTGGTTGCTGGCCATGATACGGGTGGCAATTACTTTGTTGACAGGAACCAGCAGCAGCGCCAAGACCAGACCACCCACAAAGGCCAAGCCCACCTGCTGGTACAGCAGGTAGAGGGTGATGGCCAGCTGCAAGGGCAGCCCCCAGGCCTCATGGAAGCTGCCAGTGAAGTTAAGCAGCCGTTCAGAGTCAGTGCCCAGAAGGTTGAGCACCTCCCCAGCAGGAGGGCGCCTGGGCCCCAGGTGCAAAGCCTTGTGGTACAGGACGTTGAACACAGTGCCCCGGGCCTGGAGTGTCACCTTCCGTACCTCATAGCCATACTGATTCTGCAGCACAGCGCCAAGCACTGCTCCACCAGCTAGCCCCAGGGCATAGAGCAGGCCCTGGCTCAGTGGCTCCTGTCTGTCCTCCAGAAAGCCCACCAGCAGGGACAGCAGCAGCGGCCCTGAGAACCCCAGCATGGTCCCCACCAGCTTCAGCAGGCCAAGGGCCAGGTAGCACCGCCCAAAGGCCCCATACAGGGTCCTCCACAGCTGGGCCCCCTCCTGCCAGTGTGCCTGGAAGACACGGGCCACATAGGCTGGATGCAGCCTGTAGGGCAGGCGGCAAGTGTCCTGGGGCTGCCGCAGCTCTCCACGAGCCCCACGGGCCAGCAAGGGAGCCAGCCAGGCATAAGAAAAGCGTGACAGCCAACTCTCTCCATCCTCAGCCACCTCAGGTTCTCTGCTCCCAGAAGACATGAAAGGCTCATGAGTCCAGGGTTCCAATGGTGGCCCCCCAGGGGCTGCCCAGCCCAGGCCATAAGCCAAGACTGCTGCCAGCTGCAGAATGAGAAGACACAGACGGGCCAGGGGCCCTGGGTGCAGTGGGGGCAGAAAGGTGTCTTGCTGGCAATGCCACAGCAGAGTCAGCACCAAGGCAGGGGCAGGCAAGAAAGCTGCCAGAGACAAAGCCCAGGGCCCCCGAGAGCGGCCATTAGGAGAATGAGCCAATACCCACAGGGCCAAGCTGTGGCTGCTCCAGGCCACTGCTGCCACACATCCTGCCAGCACCTCCAGCCCTGTGGGACCTGGGCCTGCTCCTGGTGGCAGAAGAACTGGAAGGAGGTCTAGCAGTGGGAAAATGGAGAGCAGCAAGGCAGCTGTAAGTCGGAGGCGCCAGCCAGGACAGCAGAGCAGGACGTAATCTGGACTCCTGGGAATTGGGAGAAGAGAACAGAGGAGGAACATCAAGGCTTACTCAGGGACCAGAGATGGACCTCACCTCCAACTCTTAACTCAGGGAACGACCGGCTTTCCCGCTTCACACTCCATTTACCTTGGAACCCAGGCCCTTCTCACCTAGGAAGCCTTCCCAGACTGACCCAAGCCGCTTTCTAATTAAATATACTGTCTGATTCATTCTTTATCACAGGCATTGACAACTCTGAGTTGTTTATACCTACCATGAAGGGTCTAATTAAAAAAAAAAAAAAAAAAAAAAGACTTTGAGGCTAGCCTGGAAAGATCCAGTCTCAAAACAAAAAGGAGTTGCAGCTCAAGAATAGAGCATTTTGGGCTGGGGATTTAGCTCAGTGGTTTCACCACCTGCTGTGCAAGCGCAAGGACCCAAGTTCGATCCCCGGTACCAAAAAAAAAAAAAGAATAGAGCATTTAAGGGCCAGGGATTTAGCTCAGTAGCACTGCACCTGCCTTGTAAGTGCAAGGTCCTGAGTTTGATTCCTTGTACCAAAAAAAAAAAAAAAAAAAAAGAATAGACCATTTAACCTGGGCGTGGTAGCACATGCCTGTAATCCCAGCACTCCGTAGGCTGAAGCAGGAGGATTGTCATGAGTTTAAGGCCACCCTGGTGTATGTGGTGAGTTCAAAGCCAGCCTGGACTACACAAGAAGATCTTGTCTCAAGAAACCAAAAAAAGAGCACTTGCCTAGCATGCATGAGGCCCTGGGTCCAATCCCCAGTAGTCCAAAGAGTATGAATTTGTTATGCCCTTTGTTGGCATGTTTGAGTTACTTTAGTCATATATCAAAATACTTTGGGTTTTCTTAAGAATCCACCTGTTAGTTAAATGGAGGGGTTTAGGTTAAAACCAAAGTCAGCTTTCAAGGTGTGGGAACAGAAAAAGAACACTGCACCCTTGCAGATTGTACACTGGGCTGAAGTTACAAATCCTTTTCCTCACTGGTACAGGAGGAGTGAGCAGTTGAGACCCAAAGTCCTTTGCTATCCTTTTCCAACTGCAATTCTTGATCTAATCCTTACCAGCAAAGCACAAAAGCCTGCTAAGTAAAGTGAGACAACCACAATGTCTATTGTTTACATGAGGATTTTTCTTACCTTCCCATTACATTGAGTTCTCAAAGGATTGTGTCAATTTTTTGTTTTTGAGGCTGGTCTCAAACTCCTAAGTTCAAGCAATCCTCCTGCCCCAGCCTAAGCAGTTGAGACTACAGGCACAGCACCTTAGCACCAACCCCAGCTAAGACTGGTCTATTTTTAGCAGCTTCTCCTCTGAGGAAGCAGGTGGTCAATGTCTGTGCGGACTAAGCCTCTCTAGACCTTCGTCTTGTCCCAGGCAAGGAACAAATGAGGATCCCTCCCAGATCAAGCAGGTCTGCTACACCTCCTCTCCAAGGAAAGGGTTCATCATCTCCCTAATTCCTGTTGGGTGGAGACACTTTTCCCTTTATCAACCGGGCACACCCACAGGCAGAGAGCAGGCTGCCCTCCTCCCTTGTGAGACTAACTTTGCCATCTGTAGCTGGGTACAGAATAAAGGTGAGTTTGGCACTGGCAACTTACAGCCCTAAACCCTGTCTCCTCTACCTACTGCCTCCGTATATAAGTTTACATAAGATTTTCTTAGCTCAGGAACACTTAAGTTCGACGGAGGGAAGTGCTGACCAACAAGTCCTGTAACTTCAACCCTAGTCATCCTTATGGGCTAAAACACTGTTCATCTAATTTTGCCTTAAATCCAATTAACAGTTGTGTCTGAGCATCTGAAAATCTACAACAGCAATGATTTTTACCATGAAGTAGGCCTTAAAAATATGCCAGGCATGGCACTCGCAGTATGCTTAGATGCATTATTTCACCTACCCCTCTCAAGAATGCTACAAGACTCGGAGAAGCTAGGTGACTTGCTCAAGCACTGGACACTCTGCTGCTGAGTGGTAGCCCTCAGCTTTTATTTTGCTTCTGCCCGGCTCCAGCCTCGCGGGCAGCTGCGGGTGGAAGGGGTCTGAGAGTATGGAGATGGGGGGCTGCAGGTGGGATCTGCAGAAGCCGTCTCTACCCACCTCGGGGTGCCCCAGTGGCAGGCACTGAGCACAGCGAGGAGCGCGTGGGGCAGGGCGCTGAGCACCAGCTGGGTGAAGCAGTGGCCGGCTGTGTCCCTCTCCCACAACGGGAGCGGCTGCACCGCGCTGGTGCCGCACAGCTGTGCCAGGACCCGCTCCATGGACGCCGCACCTGAGCCGAAAGCTGGAGTGAGCTAGGACGAGGTTGCCCCAGCCGGGCCCTACGCCAGGCCCGCCCCGCCCCCAGCGACGCCCCGCCCCGCCCCAGTCTTCCCCCCTAGGCCCTGCCCCGTCCCACCTCCGCCTCGCTTCCACCCCTAGCCAGACCCCGCCTACTCTCGCCGTACCTCCGAGGGCGGAAAGGAAGTTTCGCTTTTTAGAGCTGGAGGATTTTGGGGATCCGGTCACCACCCTGCTACCCCTTTTTCCTTTTTCTATTTCTCTGTACCCAGGTATGTGGAACCTCAAAACCTGAAGTTGTTTTGCGCCGGATTCCAATATCCAAAGCACTGGAGGAAGCAAAAGGACGTGTTCCCAGGTCAAGGTGCTGGGCCGCGGCTCGGCGGGCGCCCCCTAGGGCCGGGAAGACCTTTCTGGTACTATTTGCCCCGCCCAGGCGCAGGGCTGTGCTCTTGCAAGGCTTTAGATGCCTTTGTACGCAGGCGCAGTGCTGCAAGCGCACCACCCTGTTTAGGCAAGTTTACAGCCTGTTGCCTGCACGAGGACACATCCCTTCCCTAGGGCATGTCCATTTTATACCCTCCCACGTGGAATACTTTCACTAGCTGACCCCAGCATTCCACTCACTAATACATAAAGAACTGGGAGACCAAACATGCTGCACTGAGGAATAATGCCGTTTACACACCATCTTCTTCCTCATTCTTGGGAAGTATTTCTAACCGCTTTGACTCTGTTTCTTTATCTGTACAATGGGGACAAAATAACAATACCAAAGTGCTGAAAGTTGTATAAATAATTTAAGTACATTTTGTAAGTGGTTTGCTAAAAGGAATTCTCCAAAAAATAGAAAAGTAATGGGGAAAACAGTCTTTATAGTTAAATGAACGATGTGGGTTTGAATGCTGACCCCACCAGTTTTTACCACTGCAGTGCCAGGCAAGTTACTTCTGCATCTTAGTTTTATTATGTTTACCAGGGATGTATTTATGTATTCACACATCACTTGTTACATCACCTGAAGAAAAGAAACTCAACAAGTAACTGGCTGTTCCATCTAATCTTAATGAGAGATCTGGTATTCCCCCTGTGCCAGGAATTAAGGTTCCTAGCTTGAAGAATGAAAAAAATGTATATTTATATTACAAAATCTTTGATAATGAGTTATCTTAGCAATAGTGACTAGTGGCTGCTAACTCACTAAGAGTGGCAACCAGACATTGCATGCTCCTAATAAAAAATAAAATATCCTCGCCAAAAACTTAGCTTGAATCTGAGCAAGCCTAATTATCTACTTGCAAGAAATGCAGGAGACAATACTATAAGGATGCAATATTAGCTGTATTCTAACAATACTCAGATTATGAAAAGCTCTATAAGAGCCAGGTGTGGTAACACACTCTTGTAATCCCAGCATTCAAATGGCTGAAGCAGGAGGATTGCCACAATTTCAAGGCCAGCCTGGACTACATAGTGAGTTCAAAGTCGGTCTGAACTACATAACAAGACTGCCTCAAAAAAAAAAAAGTTGAAAATTAGCAGAAAGATGTATATAAAAGAATGATGTTTTCTCTTCACTGAAGGAACAGAGAAAGACATTCTTTGTGAAACCACTTCAAAAAACTTTTTCTGATAATGTGTTGAATTTGAGAACTTTTAGAAAAATATCAATCTTATTCATTTACATTTGTCCAAATGGAGACTTGGTGTCTATTCATAATTACCATCAACTTGCTTTGTTCTCTATTCATATAAATATGTCCTTGGAAATATAATTTGAATGAAGAGGGACATGTAAGATTCTTGTCCTATGAAAATTACTTTCAAAATATACACAATAGTGCCTGTTAATTTTCTTTCTTTCTTTTTTTTTTGTTGGTACTGGGGATCGAACTCAGGTCCTTGCGATTGCACAGCAGGTGGTGGAACCACTGAGCTAAATCCCCAGCCCTTAATTTTCTTAATGGTCATTTATTTGATTTATTGCCCTAATAATAGTATGCTAATCAGCATTTCTATATTCCTAAACACTATGAATGGTGTAATTATAAGTACAGAATACCGTCTCCTCAGATCAGAACAGGATGATTGATGTAATGTAACTGCAGATTTTAAAATTTGCACAAGCAGATCAAGTCTGGTCACATTTAAATTAATAGCACAGAATGGGAATAATTGTGAAAAAAGCTCCCTCCAGAGGCAAGAAAGCATAATCATCTTTTACATTTATAACAGCAGTGTGGTTACAAAATCACACAATCCCATGTACCATGAAACGTTTATTTTCTATAACCAATGAAATCTTCTGCATCACCCCAATACAACACTTGGTTGGGACTTTGAATTGCCAATTGACAAAAATCTCCACCTCTTTTGGTTTAAATGCTGTTCTGGGCAAAACAACTTGAGGTCTATTCTCCAGACTCCGGATAGCCTCCTCTGGTCCTTGCTTCTGGGTTGTGGAAAGGTGGGCAACCTCCTGGAGAATGAGAGAGAGATTCTTACCCTGCTCTTTTAGGGTCTCTGGCCCCTCTGGTTTTCCTTCTCTGTCTTTCTGATCATTGGGCATCCTACTGGCTTCTCATGCATACCGCAGATCTCTCTACATCTCATTCATGGTCTGCATAAGTTTCTGATTCAAGCTAAGTTATTTCTGTGTGACACTGGGTAGGATCTTAGGAAACCTTGCAGGTCGCCTGGCGCCCTTTGCCTGGTTATGATACATAACCATGCTGGCATTTCTACCATGGCAGAGGCGGAACGAAAACAGATGTAAATCACAAAGCCCTTGAATCCTTCAAGTTCAAGTTCTTTGCTTTACCTCTGATTTCCCCGCTCGTCCCTGGCTCAAAATATTTTTACTGTGTTACGGCTAGGGATTTAACTCAGTGGCACCACACCTGCCTTGCAAGCTCAAGGTCCTGAGTTTGATCCCAGGAACCAAAAAAAAAAAAAAAACATTTGGTCGGGGATTTAGCTCAGTGGTTCTGGCGCCTGCCTCGCAAGTGCAAGGTCCTGAATTTGATTCCCCCGTACCAAAAAATTAAAAAAAAAAAAGATTTACTGCATTGGTGGTATAGTGGTGAGCATAGCTGCCTTCCAAAATATTTTTAATTTGAGCCGGGGATTTAGCTCAGTGGTTCCACCGCTTGCCTTGCAAGCTCAAGGTCCTGAGTTCGATCCCCAGTACCAAAATATTTTTAATTTCTTCCAGAGCTGTAGAGAAAAAGATATATGTTAGAAAATTTTCTTTCTCAATTATTAATATTATCTATTATATTTATTTATTTATTTTTGGTACCAGGGATCGAACTCAGGACCCTGTGCTTGCAAGGCAGGCATGGTGCCACTGAGCTAAATCCCTGGCTCTCTCAATTATTATTTATAAAATTTATAGATCGGCAGTTTTAGGCTTCTAGTTTTTCATTTTGAAAATTTTCCTCTCAACTATTTTCTCTGCCACAAGTTTAAAATAACAATTTTTAGGGTCCGGGGATTTAGCTCAGTGGTTTCACCACCTGCTGCACAAGCACAAGGACCCAAGTTCAATCCCCAGTACCAAAAACATTTATAAAAATAACAATTTTTAAATTATTATCAAACATCAAATAATTATTATAAAACATTCAAAGATACCACTAAGGGCTGGAGGTGTAGCTCAGTGGTAAAGGATTTACCTAGTGTGTGCAGGACCCTGATTTGATCCCTGGAACCCCAAAAACAAAACTAAACAACAACACCAAAAAGATAAGAAACCATTAAGAAAGTAAAAAAGACAACCAACTACGTATATGGCAGAAAACATATAATGACTAACAAAGGGTTTGTAACCAGGATACATGAAGAACTCTTAAAAATCAATAATAAAACAATCTGGTGGAAAAATAGGTCAGCAAATTGAATAAGCAGTAAACGAGGATATTACAGTGACCAATTAATATATTAAAAGATGCCAGATCTCACTTGTCTTTCAGACATGGAAATTGAAGTCAGGATGAGATAGCACTCATTTAGTTGTAGGATTTGAACTTAAGGTGACTAAGTGATGATATGGAGCAGCTAATGCCATTAAAAGATTTTTATTACATACAGTTTTCAAGAGAAAGGTGCTTACCATGTCAGCAGGGCAGCTGGGGAACGCCAGCTTTAGTAAGGAGCAAGAGGAAAACATGAGTAATAGCCTTTATTGGGGTTCCTGCAGGGGAAACAAGGCAGGAAGGAAACAGATTAAGATTGGCCACTTGGAATAATGGTGAAGGGTCTAGGTTCTAGGGGTGGTCTGGTACCTGGCCCTGGGTGATTTCGGGTAGGTGAATTATCTCCTTGCTATGTGACAGGTAAGGAGGTGTTTTGGGCCAGGCAGAACAGCACACCCCTGTAATCCCACCTAATTGGGGCTGAGGCAGGGGGATTTTGAGGCTAGCCTGGGGAACTCAACAACTCTGTCTCCAGTAAAACATTCTAACTGAGGATGTAGCTAGATGATAGAGTACTTACCTAGAATGCACAAAACCCTGGATTCAATCCCTAATACTGAAAAAACAAACAAGAAGTAAGGAGCTGGGTACGGTGGCACACACTTGTAATCCTAGCACTCAGGAGGCTGATGCAGGAGAATCATTGAGAGTTTGAGGCCATCTTGGGCTACATAGTGAGCTCGAGGTCAGCATGAACTACATAGCAAGACCCTGTATTAAAAGGAAAAAATTGGGGATATGGATTTGGGATTGGTTAGAGGTTTGGAATAGGATTTGCTTGCAAAAGCTGGATCCAGAAGAAACATACACAAAATTTGTGTGGTCCTGTGATTAACGAATGCCAAATAGACAAATGCAGAATCCAAGACAACACAGAACTGCACTACACCTTTAGAAAGGCTAAAGTTAAAGGGAAAAACTGATAATACCAATATGAGACCAGCAACTGGAATGCTTATATACTGCCAGTGTACCAAGTTCAATATTAGGAAAGACTAATAAGGATATTAGAGGTTCAAGTGATTATGCCTTCTCTGAAGGAGTGTTAGGAAGGAACTCAAAGAAGACAGGGAGACTCTTTCTTTAGCTTAATTAACAAAAATCAACAGAAGTAACATACAATGACATACATTTATTGTACTGTCTCATGTTACCTGAATTTTCTGACTCTTCCATAATTCAGTACATAGTGATCTTGACCATCTTATCCATCCCCAAGACAACTTGCTGGTCCTCTGAACTGATGACATCAAGCTGGTAGGATCTGTAGCATATAAAATAGCAAATACCTGACACCCTTTAGGAAACAGGGATATCAGAGGATGGGAGACTAAAGTACGAAAGGCCTTTTACTTCTTTGATTCTTTTTGGTGTTGACTGATTTTTTGTTTTGTTTTGTTTTTGGCCTTACTAGGGATTGAACCCAGGGCCTTGGCAGTGCATCACCAGCACTGCCAAATTTTTGAAATTTTGAAAGATTTAATTTTTAAAATTTTTAAATTTTTGAAATTTTGAGGCAAGTTCTCACTAAGTCACTAAATTGCCTCGACTGATCTCAAACTTGTGGTTCTCCTGCTTCTGCCTCCCACAGAGCTGGGATTACAGGCGTACATTGCCATGCTTGGCTTGTGTTTAGTGATCTTGCATACGAGTGTCTGTTCCAAAATAAAGGACACATTCGTTTGTTTTCTTTTGGTTTTGTTTTCTTTTGAGGCAGGGTCTCACTATGCAGTTTAAGCTGGCCTTGAACTCACTATGTAGCCCAGGCTGGCCTCAAACTCTCGGTTATCCTCCTGCCTCAGCCTCCCAAGTGCTGGAATTACAGGCGTATTCCACCATACCTGGCTAGGACACATTGTTTTACTTGTGCTACTTACCCACGAACAAACAAACAAACACCACATCATTAGGGTGAGTTATAGGCAATGCGTAGCATGTTTGGGTTATTGCTCTGACCTCCTTCTCTGGTCACCTGAAAGGAAGCCACATTTGAATGAGAATGAGAGGAAAAAAGTCCTCTAGTTGGCCCAGCCTACTGTGGAATTTAGTCCTTCCAATCCTTAGGATTTTCAGTGTTTATGACAGGTGAAAGTATCGAATGGGGCCTGTGATGACACCTGCTGGTGAATCACAGTAGACACTCATTGACCACTGACCATGACCTTCAGCAAGTACATATTTTCCCTCAGAGAATCAGCTATCAGCTTGATGCTGGGCTCTTGGGACAGTATGATTGTGGAATTCAAGTTGTTCATCATGAGCTGGCTTTTATCTGGTCTTCCTACAGTAGGTCTGACACTAGCATGAATCAAGTAGAAATGATATACCCAAAATGTGATGGGAGCAGACCCTAAGGACCTGGGTGGCTCCCAGGACCACAGTCCCACTGTGGCCGCACTGCTGCTTCTTCCACCAGTTGACAGTCTTTACATGGTGTTAAAAAGAAATGAACTTTTGTGATATTATGGCCCTGAATCAAGGGTAACACTGAAGGGCTCTGCGGGTGGAAAAACTTCAAGAAATACAACTGTCTAGTTTTGCCAGAAGGAGAAAGAGCCTCAGGCAAGAATCTGCACTGATTCTCGAACAGAGCTTAATGGTCTCTCTAGATGATTAGGGAATTAGTAGTATTGAAAGGAAGTTTGGACAAACATCGTCTGAATGCACCTCTCATAGTGGATCCCAAGTCCACCATGACTCAGTTGTAGACTATAGATACCACTTTACATAGCTGAAGAGAAAAGGTGTTAATCACCAGGGACTAGGTGAGGTGTACAATATCTGGGTGGAGCTTGCAGGAGCTCTTTCTGCACCTGGAATCTCATGGGTGGTTGGGGAAGCTACAGCTGTCATTGCAGGAAACCAGTAAATCAGCAAAGTGGTGACCGCAGAACCACACTTCCTCTGCCATGGCCCATAGAAGCCAGTGGGTTCTTCACACCCTGTCTTTTTCTCTACTTTACTAGTTCATTTAGTTTCACATTCACGTCTTATGTAAGTGGACAATTGGCAAAATATATATAGCTTTGAGCTCTCAAGACTCTTAAGTCTAGAATGACACATGAGAAGGTGTGTTGAGCAACCTAGTCTACTATGAGACTCCTTGTGCCCCGAGTAAAAGACACTCTCAACAACCAGGTAGATCACACGGCCTGCTCTGGGGTAGTGTCAGTCCTCCACACTCACTAGAGCTTGTTGTACCAGCTCATGAACAAAGTGACCAAGGGGCCACTGGGAAGGCAAAGCAAGTACTTGACAGTGTGGACTGTTTCACACTAAAAGTGGCCTGCCTGCTGCCAATGTAAACCCCTAGTTAAAGATGAAAGTTATTCTAGATTTCTGTCTGTTTTCCTTCAATACCATATTTTTTACCAGCACTACCATCTAGACTTTCTGGATGCTTTGAAAGACAGATCAGATGACAACCTGCAGGACAGCACATCTGACCAAGTCACTTTTACAGTGAAAGAAATGAGGTGGTTGGGCACACAATCCATCTCTTGTGGGAGCCTTAGTCTTACTATGGATTCCAACAAGTCTGAGGATTAAGTGTATATGTGATATGTTGCCATTTAAAACGACACTCATTTCTGGAACAAATTACCACAAATTCAGTGGCTAAAAATAGCACATTTATTCTCTCTCCATTCTGGAAGTTAGAAGATGGAAATGGGTCTCACTAGGAAGGGATCATTAGGGCTGTTACTTTTGTGGGCTCTAGGGACAAGACTATCCCCATGTTTTTTCCAATTTCTAGAGATGGCCCCTATTTCTTGTTTCCTGGCCCCTTACCATTTTCAAAGCCAGCAGTTGCTGGTTAACTATATCTCATTCTGCATTACTCTGGCACTGGTTCTGCAGCCTCCCTCTTTCTTTGATAAAATAACACTGGAGCCCACCTGGGTCATATAGGGTGATCTTTCCATACCCCATCAGCTGATCAGCAACCTTAACTCTATCTGCAACCTTAATTTCCTCTTGCTATGTTGCATGGGCTGGAACCTGGATCCTATGTAGTCTCCTTTAGGGTAGAGACTATATTGCTTACACAACAGCCAGAACTCCCTTTTAGACCCCTTAAAACTATCTGGACAATACTGAATAGTTTCTCTGGTGTGAGAAACTGAAAGTGTAAATAAGGACTAAAAGGTATAATAGATAATGTGAAATAGGAAGAAAAGGGGCAAAGGAGAAGAGGAAGTGGGAAGGGTAGGGGAAAGGAAAGAAGGGAATGGAATTAATATGAGAAAATGAAAAAATTGAAACAAAGTCTTTGTAAATTGGGAGGGGTGGGGGGGTTGAAAGGAGGGCAAGGGAATGGGGGAAAAATAAGAACCAAGGTGATTACATAAAGGTACAAATTTCCCATGATGAATGTCATTATATTGTATACCTAAAACGTACCAATAAAACAAAAGAAGGAGAATTTTAAAAAAAAGAATGTCTAGACAGAGTCCTCATGGGTATCCTACTCAGAATCCTCTCCTAGCTAGCGGAGCTTTATTTCCTTACCTTTATTTCTTTTACTTTCTTGACTTTATATCTTTTTAATAAATCTACTTGCACCCAACCTCCTACAGCCACAGTTTCATTGTTTGTCACCATGGGACATGACCTTGGCATTCCAGAAACAAGATTTTTTTTTTTGGTACTGGGTCCTTGCACTTGTGCAGCAGGTGGCAAAACCACTGAGCTAAATCCCTGGCCCATCCAGTAACAAGATATTTGGTCAAACATTATTCCATGTGTTTCTGTGAAAATGTTTTTATTCTTTTATTTTTGTATGAGATTAACATTTAAATTGGTAGACTTTGAATAAAGCAGATTAGCCAGCACAAAATGTGTGGGCTTCATTTAGTAGTTAAAAGCCTTAACAGAACAAAACTTTCCTCCATAAAGGTAGAAAGGAATACTGCCTTTGGACTGGGACTGTGACTCCTTCCTGGATCTATACCCTGGTGTGGCCTTCCCTGTAGACTTGGGAAAACCGCAGCTGTGTAGCGGAAGCTAAAGGGAAGTCACAGATGTTCCTGTAATAAATTACACGATTACAGGAGGGTTTTGGGGGGGGATGGGATAAAATAAAATTTATTAATTAACAACAACAACAAAAGAACAAAAACAAATTACAGGGCTACCTACAAGCTGTAGGAGAAAAGCTGGCCAGGACGGCAGTTAGGCCTCCTTTTCTCATCCTAACTCGACACACTGTACAATCTGCTCATAAGATGAGTCACTATCATTGCCAGTGGCTAGAAGCCTCGATTCTTCACTGCCTGTGACTAGAACTCCCAGAAGTTTCCCATTATGTGGGTGGGTTACTCAACAAGGCTGCTATATTGTCCCCAATGTACATGGTCTGAGAGAGCGAGAGAGAAAGCATGCTCAGAATGGGAAGCAATTAGTTTTTATAACCTAATCTCAGAAGTGAAGCATCTTTATGTCTGTCATATTCTATTGCCCACACAGACCAACCCTGCACGATATCTGAGGGGACAGCACCAGGGTGTGAACACTAGCAGATGAGGATAACTAAAGCCATCATGGAGGCTGATTGTCATATCTTAGAAACATACATTGCTTTCTACCATAAAAGCACTGCTACTTACACCTCAAAATCTTAGGATGCAGTTTTGCTTTCTTTCTCTTTAGCCTTTTTATTGTGAAAATTACACATATACCTAAATGAATATGAAACAAATGGGCAGCTTACTAAAAACAATCAACCAAGATAAACAACACCAACACCTGAGAAGCCTCCCTCCAATCTCCTGTCTAATCTAAATGACCCCCATCCTCATGGTGATGACCTCATTTTTATAATTTTAAACCTACAGTGGACCCTCAAGTTACGACCAACTTGACATATGAACAACTTGGGTTATGACCGAAATTTTAGTTTTAACTTATGAACAAAGTCTTGAATTACAAACCAAATGATGGCGTCTTGGGCTTCCAGATGGTCTCCGATACAGATTTAATCCTTAAAGACTTCTGGAAGGAACATTACAACATCCTTTCCTGTGTAGGGTTAATTGAGAAATCCTGGGCCAATGTCTCTCTAAGGACACAGATTTGCTTGTATAGAGGAGAGGGACTTTAAAGGCTGAGTAGAGGAGCCTGAGCCTTCAATTGGACCAATTTGAATTATAAGCAGCCCTTGCGAACAGAGTTTGTAAGTCAAGGGTCCACTGTATTTTTCTTTATTTACTACCTAAGAATGAACTTCTATTGCTATAGTTTAGTTCTGGCAGTTTAAAATTTGTTATATTGTCTGGGCATAGTGGCACATGCCTGTAATCCCAGCAGTTGGGAGGCTGAGACTGGAGGATTGCCATGACCTTGAGGCCAACCTGGGCACATAATGAGTTCAAGTTCAGGCTGAACTATATAGTGAGAACCTGTCTCACAAAATCAATAACAACAAAGAAATAAATAAAATAAAATGTTCTGTTGTTGCTGAATTCAAGAGACAGATGAGACCATTGGGAAACAGGAGGATTTTATTCTAGGTTTTAGGTGAACACTGGCTTGGTGAACTAGTGTCCAAAGGAAGAGTGTCAAAGAAAAGTTTTAGTTTTTATATATCTGGTCAAAAAGGGGTGGTCTTTCTAGTGACACCACAAGCAAGTTTATATGAAACAGGACAAGGGCAGACAGTTTTGTACTTTAGCCCTGAGAGAAGACAGAGCCTTATGAATCAAATGAGAACAGAATGTCATAAACCTTGTTTACTGGATATAGTTGTCAATTTTATCTGTACCAGAGCCAAGGAGTTACAGCTACAGGAGAAAGGGGTAACCCAAGTCGGGGGAACTATCCAAGGCTGGAAAGAACTTGTTTTTCTTTAAGTCCTGCTTCATTCTCCTCCTTGATGTTTTCTATAACACGTTTAATAGAAAGCATCATTATCATCATCATTAATTTTTTTTTGTCACTAGGGGGTGGCTCTCTACTGAGCAGAGGTTGGTT